AGAGTCGTCTGGGTATGCCTGCAGGAAGTCGACCACTGACTTTCCAGAATGCTGGCGGCGTTCCCTCAGTGTTGCGCGAGCAACCCATGGCATGGGGGAGCGACCGAACTCTCGCCGAAGACGCTCAAAGATTGTCGCAGTAATCAGCGAAGAAGTGATGTTGGCCGCTCTGGCAACGGCGTAGACCTCACTGTCCAGTTGGCCAAGGATGACCAGCGACCGGTTCCCTTCACTGACGGACTCGAGGTACAACTTCATACGATCCTCCCAGAGATCATAATCATCATACATCGTCAGTTGTTCCGGCTTCGGAAGTTGGTCTCCACTTGATGACAACTTCTCAATCGCCTTAACGAGTCGATCCAGAATCTCGTCTGACATGGCACGATCCCACCACTGTCACCAATTTTTAACGGGCCTAAACGAGACGAGAACCAATAACGCTATGCTGTCCCTTCTGGTCCCCGGTAAGAAGGAAAGACGGGTTCCTAAGGGGATTTTGGGGATTATTTATTAGCGTCAAAAGACGATATTGGCAGTTCGGGAACAGTGGGATGTCCTATGGCGAGGACAGGCCTGTTTGGATGCAAGCCTTGTTGGGTCCGGGCGGCGGAGACGATGCAGGAGCGGCGGTGGCGTCCAGAAGGAGTCCTCCGGTTCAAGAGTGGTTAACGTCAATCCTCCTCGGTTTTTATAGGGCCTCCAGACAATTGGGATAGATTCACATAAAAATAGACCAATGGGTATGCGTAAATCAATTGCAAGAATACTAGAACGTAAATCGTAGCCAATAGGATCTTCGGGAGCGTTTTTATTGACATTCTGGCCTAGACTGGTCTCTACTAGATTGCTGATAGGCAAACCGAAATACCCAATGGTTAGTCGAAAACTATTGACTTAATTTGGTGAGATCCAATGAGATCGACAGTTAAAAGTGTCCTGGACCAAGAGAATTGGAGAACCTAAAATGGCAAACTTGTGTGTGCCATCCAATGGGAACGCCCAGCTTTGTACTAGCAATTTGTTACCCATCTTAGCCTAACTACCGAAAATTAGGAAACTTTTGCTCCATCTTTACACAGCTGACCAATTCCTACCTTATATCCGGCTGGTTTGGGCTGCAGTACGTTATCCGTTTACTTGTTTCTTTCTTCTATGCGATGCAATGTGTCATTGAAATAAGTGAATGTTTAATTATAGTCTCTAGAATCGTACTTAAAGTTATTTATAAGAATGGCACGTTATTTGACTGCTTGAGTGTAGTATATATAAATATATATATATATATATATATGGATATAGGCAAAAATGCTGACCCCAGGTGTTAATATGGAAGAGGAGGATGAGGCGATCTCTGGGGAAGAAGGTTTATTCATCTGACGTTTCGTGTTCATACTCGAGCACACCTTCGGAGATAGGCTGAGCGAGAAATACAGGGTTTAAATAGGCCATCTGCACTCTCACCCGATAGGTTCGTCCCGTTCGCTTCTCGTTGCCCCCCTCTCGCGCGTAGATGGTGCCTGACGGCCTCGTATGGCGCTGGCAAATCGATACTTCGGTTGATAGAGTTCGTGTCTGATTTCCAGGCCTCAATCACTTCCCTCGCCAGTTTGCTTTCGGCTCGGCCGAGCACCTGGGCGCCGTCAAAGTCGAACTTGTGATTGTTTTCCAGGCAGTGCATGGCGACATGCGATAGTACGTCCTTTCGCCTTACGGCTAAAGTGTGCTCATGCATGCGCGTTCTTAGGCGTTTGTCGGTCATGCCACAGTAGTTGGCTGGACAGTCCAGACATTTGACGCGGTAAATAACGCCTGACGTGTCTGCAGGTGGTAGCCGGTCCGTGGGCTGCATGATTAAGCGGCGAATGGTGGCCTCCGGTCGGTGACCAACGCCCACGCCTAGCGGCCTTAGTATGCGCTCAGTGGCTTCGGAGACGTTACTCACGTAGGGCAAGACACGGAAGATTTCTGGTCTTTGTTTCTTCTCACCGTCCGTCTTCGTGTGCCTTCGGTACAAGCATTTGTTCACAAAACTGCGTGGATATCCATTGGCAAGGAAGAGGCGCCATAGGGTATTACGCTCCCGCAGCTTTTCGGCTTCTGTGCTGCAGTGTGTGTGGATGCGGCAAAAAAGGGTCCGGACACAACTGCGCTTATGCGACAGGGGGTGATTGGTGTTGTAATGAAGAATTTTCGCCGTGTCTGTCGCCTTTCGAAAGACACCAGTCTGGAGGGTTCCGTCTTCCTGCCTCGATACCTGGACATCGAGGAAAGGGAGCACTCCGTTATTTTCTTCCTCCATGGTAAATTGGATTTGTGGAAAAACTGAGTCCAATTCTCTTTTAAAGTTGTCTTTCGCGTCTCGGTGTAAGATGACAAAAGTGTCGTCTACGTAGCGCATCCAGAATTTCGGCTTGTATGTCTGGAAGACCCGAGTTTCCAGTTCCTGCAAGACCGCCTCAGCCAGGTAGCCGGAGATTGGGGACCCCATTGGGACTCCTTGGATTTGCTCGTAAATTTGGCAGTTAAACGTGAAGTACGTGTGTAAACAGTAGTCCAGTAGTTCCATCGCGTGCCTCCTCTTAAAAGGTTTTTCTTCTTCGTCGTACCTTTTCTTCAGTAGGTCATCGACAGCTCTCATGGCCAATTCTTTAGGGATAGAGGTGAATAGAGAGACGACGTCAAAAGATACCATTATTTCGTCGGGGGCTATTGTGACGTCTTTTAGTCTTTCCAGGAAGTGTGTTGACGATACAGCTGTGTGTTCCGAGCCGTCCGTCAGCTTCTTCAAATGCTTGGCAAGCCATTTAGCCAGTCCGTATGTAGGCGTGCCTTTCAGCGCCACAATGGGCCGTAGGGGGACATTTGGTTTGTGGATTTTCGGCAAACCATAAAAGCGCGCTAGGGCAGCATCTTGGGGTTTCATTTGTCTCCAATCCTTTTCTGATATTGCCTTTTCTTTCCTCATCTGGTTCAGGCTCTTGTTGATTTGGCCTACCAGTGCTTTCATGGGATCGGAGTCGATGACTTTATACGATTGTTCGTCCTTTAGTAGCTGCTGCGCTTTGGTAACGTACTCCGACTTGTCTAGCACTACGGTTGCCCGCCCTTTGTCTGCTGGAACAATGACAATTTATTCGTCCCTCTTTAGTTCCTTGATGGCCTTTACCTCTGCCGGCGGGATGGTTCGGCGAGGTCTGTGGGACATGATGAGGGACGCGACTCGTTGGCGAATCGCGTTCTTTGAGTCCTCCGTGGTATCAGTTTTTGAGAGTGTCGCTTCTAGTGCAGCGATGAAGTCCACTGGCTGTGCGTCTCCTGTGTTTTAACTGGATTCACGTTGAAGAACTTTAACTTGGTCCTCTGTCAGCTGTTTGGATGACAGGTTGTGGACGGATGACGGTCCGGGTGCCGTTGATTGTGCTTGTCTTAGAGTACACATTTTGTTAAGGAGTTGGGTCTTTTTCTTATTTCGCTCCTCGTTCACTTTAATCAAGATCCAGTTCTCCAGGTTTCGCAGTGTTTCCGTCTCCAGATGTGATGCACATGCTGTTTTCGCCCTTTCGATTTCCTTGCTGTATTTCCGCACACGAATGTGGCATTCGTTGATGAGGGTTCTTAGTAGGCGTCGGCTGCAGCTTCTGGCGACCTCACGACCGAAATCGGTTCTAGCTGGTGGCCTTACAGAGACGCTCCTCGGCATAATGTCTGATCTCAGGCAGTTGTGCAGAAAGGCCAATTGCTCCCGTGTAGATCCCTGTCTACAAGAAAATAACTCCCAATGCCGTGCTTGGCGAAGCGCTTCGCGCCCGGAAGTCTCATGGATACAGGCAAAAATGCTGACCCCAGGTGTTAATATGGAAGAGGAGGATGAGGCGATCTCTGGGGAAGAAGGTTTATTCATCTGACGTTTCGTGTTCATACTCGAGCACATCTTCGGAGATAGGCTGAGCGAGAAATACAGGGTTTAAATAGGCCATCTGCACTCTCACCCGATAGGTTCGTCCCGTTCGCTTCTCGTTGCCCCCCCTCTCGCGCGTAGATGGTGCCTGACGGCCTCGTATGGCGCTGGCAAATCGATACTTCGGTTGATAGAGTTCGTGTCTGATTTCCAGGCCTCAATCACTTCCCTCGCCAGTTTGCTTTCGGCTCGGCCGAGCACCTGGGCGCCGTCAAAGTCGAACTTGTGATTGTTTTCCAGGCAGTGCATGGCGACATGCGATAGTACGTCCTTTCGCCTTACGGCTAAAGTGTGCTCATGCATGCGCGTTCTTAGGCGTTTGTCGGTCATGCCACAGTAGTTGGCTGGACAGTCCAGACATTTGACGCGGTAAATAACGCCTGACGTGTCTGCAGGTGGTAGCCGGTCCTTGGGCTGCATGATTAAGCGGCGGATGGTGGCCTCCGGTCGGTGACCAACGCCCACGCCTANTCTTCATTACAACAGCAATCACCCCCTGTCGCATAAGCGCAGTTGTGTCCGGACCCTTTTTCGCCGCATCCACACACACTGCAGCACAGAAGCCGAGAAGCTGCGGGAGCGTAATACCCTATGGCGCCTCTTCCTTGCCAATGGATATCCACGCAGTTTTGTGAACAAATGCTTGTACCGAAGGCACACGAAGACGGACGGTGAGAAGAAACAAAGACCAGAAATCTTCCGTGTCTTGCCCTACGTGAGTAACGTCTCCGAAGCCACTGAGCGCATACTAAGGCCGCTAGGCGTGGGCGTTGGTCACCGACCGGAGGCCACCATCCGCCGCTTAATCATGCAGCCCAAGGACCGGCTACCACCTGCAGACACGTCAGGCGTTATTTACCGCGTCAAATGTCTGGACTGTCCAGCCAACTACTGTGGCATGACCGACAAACGCCTAAGAACGCGCATGCATGAGCACACTTTAGCCGTAAGGCGAAAGGACGTACTATCGCATGTCGCCATGCACTGCCTGGAAAACAATCACAAGTTCGACTTTGACGGCGCCCAGGTGCTCGGCCGAGCCGAAAGCAAACTGGCGAGGGAAGTGATTGAGGCCTGGAAATCAGACACGAACTCTATCAACCGAAGTATCGATTTGCCAGCGCCATACGAGGCCGTCAGGCACCATCTACGCGCGAGAGGGGGGCAACGAGAAGCGAACGGCACGAACCTATCGGGTGAGAGTGCAGATGGCCTATTTAAACCCTGTATTTCTCGCTCAGCCTATCTCCGAAGACGTGCTCGAGTATGAACACGAAACGTCAGATGAATAAACCTTCTTCCCCAGAGATCGCCTCATCCTCCTCTTCCATATATATATATAAATATATATATATGTTAATGGTATTTTTATGTTAATTCTAAGCAAATATGGAAAGTAAATACTGGGGAATTCATCGCAGTACAATGCACAACATGACTAAGCGGACGAAGATGGCGCACTATGCCGCCACCGATTACCCGGATAGATAAAGAGATAATTTTTTATTAAAGACTCGTCGGGGTCCCATCAAAGCACGTTAAAATAAATTTACGTGTGAGTTTTAGACGAGGCAGACCGAATCTTTACAAAATGCAATTCATAGTTTCTGAATTAGTAGCCCATTGAGAAACATGATGTTTGAGGGGTGAAAAAAGCTCCATAAAAACGTTAAAAATTATTGGATTAATTATACAGGTGAAAAAAATCCCTCAATAAAAAAGTGACAGAAAAAAACGAGCAGGACTGGCCTATATGTGGCGGTATAAAACGGATTGTTGTCCGTCATCGTCAGGGTAGCAATAAATGTCACCCTTGAGGGGTACCTGTGCGGGTCAGACAGGACTGGCCTGCATGTGGCATTGTATATGGGATTCACAATTGAGATCGCCTGGGCCGGATTGATACGTCGCATGAGACTATTCGCGTCAAAGAGGCCAGACGAGAGGAACCCGGATGCGATCGAGCGGAGCACGCTTCGAGCTCAGCCGAGCAGTGGGAAAGGGAGATATGACCAAACGACTAGTAGATTGTGAATACTGAGGGTTCCGCCGTGAGCGTCGACAGACCGCATGAGGTCGGAATGCGGGAGATGACATCAAAATCCGCGAAAATTTTCGCTATGGGGTAGGAATGATAGCAGTGGATTTAGAACCCAATTCAAAACAGGGGTTTCTAATGATATAATCAAGAGTTACCACTTAATCTACCACTAAATCCCATGAGGACCCTTCTCGAAGTCAAGAATCTGAGTGTTCGGGAATGAGACCGTAAACAGTGCCCTTATGCTTTCCGGTGTAAGATGTTTGCGTAATTTCGACTTAAATACCAGTAAATTAGGCGATTATCTAATTTTTTTCAGTTAATTTATTTTATTTGGTAAGAATAATAGGCAAAGCCTTTGAAAACCCTATTGATTACATGTCAGCTCGTTAGAAATAACTGTACACGAACAAAAAATGTTCACTATTAAAACAGCACTTGGTTGATTTGAGTAGCATTGTGTCAGAGAAAATATTTGTCTGGACCAGAGGTATTAATTCAGATTCAGACTGTCGAGGGAAAACAGGGGACACAAATAATCATCCAAGCATTTCTTGAAGAGTTGCAGGGACGTAGCCTCCACGACTGACTGAGGGAGATCGTTCCATTTCTCCACTACTCTCTGCGTGAAAAATTCAGAACGAAGATTCAGCCTGAACATTGTTGCCCGTAACTTCATCGAGTGATCACGAAGTATGGGTGAAAGGTGCCACTGAAACATGTCCTCAAATTTAAGTCCATACTCAAGGCCATGTATTATCTTGTAGACGAGGATAAGATCGCCTCATTGCTGCCTGTAACACGGAGGGAATAAATTAAGGCAATTCAGCCTTTCTGTGTAGGATTGGCTTTTTGGACCGTTTACCAGCTTTGTTGCACGCCATTGTACTTGTTCGAGGCATGCTTGGTCCTTTACTAGCCACGGTCGCCATGCTTGTATGCCATATTCTTAGTGGGGTCGAACAAATGTGCCGTAAACTCCCCCAAAAAGGTCTTGGTCAAATTTAACGAAAGCCTATTTTATTACATGCAGCACTCCCATGGCGTTTTTTGCAGCCTTATGGCACTGCAGTGTTGGTTTCAGGTTGTTCTGTATCCAAACCCCGAGATCCTTCTGTGAAGATTCTGCGGGGAGCCTTATATCTTTCAGGTGATATGTCCTCAGGCTCTAATTTGAATAAGAGTTGGTTGGACGCAGATGAAGGATGGCACACTTCTCCACATTGAAATCTAGAAGCCATTTCCTCGACCACGCTTGCAGTCGGTGCTGATTATCTTGAAGGGATCTCTGATCAATCGGTCCCTTAATGACCTGCCAGGCGGAAGATCATTCCAAAGGAAGGCATATTTGGAAGCAAAGAAGAGGGAGCGCTTAGATGTAGTACAAAGAGGCGGCGAAATCACCATGCAGGAGTTGCGCGTGACATAAGACAGATCTCTCGGAGTGAGAGTGTCAATGAGCGGAAGACTGGAACTAGAGATGATGCGAAAAAGGATGCAAAGGCCATCTTCGAGTCTTCTAACCCACAAAAACTTAATGTTCGCCAGCTGACATCTCTGAGTATAAGAAATAACGGATGCGACTTGAGAGAACAGATTCCGGGTGAAAACCTTCTGAACATTTTCGATTTTATTACGGTCGTAGGCGTTCATTAAACCGAAGAAAGGACAGCAGTATTCGAGGACTAGAAGAACAAACATTTGATAAAGTCTTAGCTTCATTTCCGGAAGGAAAAAATTATGCGATATGAATCCACATATCTGCGCGGCTTCGGCAGAGAATCTATCTGCATGAGGTGATAAAGCAAGCTTATTTGTATAACTTAGGCCTAGGTCCTTTATGGTGAGGCATTCTGAGAGTGGTGCCTTCTGAAAAATTATGGGACCAGGAAGTTTGGTAGGACAAAAAGACATGAAACTACACATGGATGATGAAAACTCCATCTGCCATGTCGAACCCCATCTGCACAAGCGTAGTAAATCGGCAATAATTTTTTTCCAAACAAAC